ATTTTATTCAACAAAATAGCGTAAACCGGATTTCAAATCATCATTTCATTTACTTACCTTTTCAAGTGAACTGCAAAATGTTTTTATATTTAATATGTCGATTCGGTTACGTTTTTCTGGTTTAGTCAGAGGATCATACATCGATCTCCGTCAGGAGCCGTTTATTGTTCCCGTATTCAGTAAAAAAGCTAAGACTGAGTTTCCGTACATAACTCACCCTCCATTGAAGGGTTTTCTGTAAATCGTCTGCGAATATTCGAGGTTTCTTGGAATCCCAAGGCGATTTCCAAAATTATTCTGGTTTTGTACTCACCAAATTTGGAAGCATGAAATTACAGTAAATTTCCGCCTACGGTCGGTTCACGGTTTTAAATCAATACCAGCGAAAACACTTTTAATTTAATTAAAGCTCTTAATCATTACAGACACTGAAGAAACATTCTAGATATTTCAGTAATTGTTAGATTAAATTTACCAAGCAATTTTCAAGCTCATTATTTCTGAGCCTACACAATTTCAAAGCATAGCTTCAGTCCACATAACGGGCGACTATGCGCCAAAACTAACTCTATTGAAATTTTACCAAAATTTAGGTCTGTTTTGGGTAAGGTTTCAATAAAGAGCTCTTCAATGTGGGCCACAATTTCTCGAAGAAAATACAGAGATTTTTCGTTGAGCTTAAGTTCTCAAAATTGATCAGCTGTGTAGAAATCGTAAGGTTTAATATTAAAACAATGAAATTCTATTACAAAGCTAACTGAGAGTTAATTCAATAAGGAGAAAGATGAATAACCAACTGAATGAAGTCATTTCCCAAATCCAAAACTAAAGGCTTTCATTCATGATACCGAACGGTAAGCAAGATAGTTACATCATTATACATCCAATGCACAAATCTTCCGAAGAATGATTCTGTTAACAGTATGGAAAGAGAACATGTTCTCTTGCAGGAAGGTTGTTTCAAGCGAAACTCGAGTTTTCGGAGGATGAGAGAAAAGTTCCAGGAAATTGAAACTTTTCACCATTTATTAAAGAACAGTGAATAGGCGAAAAAGAAATCCCAAACTCAAATATGATCTATAGGATCGTTTCGAATTCCCTTCTTTGGAATCATCTCATCTTACATTTATTAGTAGCATGAATATCTACCCTAGCAAGTGAATGATCCTTCCCACAAATTTTGTTCAATTTTTGTTTTCTAGATACATGTATAACCATGGACAGTAGAGGTTTACGAGTTAGAGGCTAAATGAAACACTTTGCAAACATAGAGGACTAGTCAGGGCAAGAAGAGAATCACCGCCGCCGTATCGAGTCAGGACGTTTATTCGAACGTGAGTCATAAAATAGTTTTCATGAGGAAAACTCTGATCTACAAAATCAACAGTATTGTTAATCAGACAAACAGTTATAATGGTGGTCGGGAATGATAACTTCAAAATAGTGAATTTAAAGAAAATTGATATCTACAACAACTGATTTGCACGACAAATACAGTAACAATAACAAAATTGTGTTCAACACAGCGCCGCATTTAGTTCCGTGATCAAAAGCAAGTGACGTGTAGAGCAACACAGCGATATGAAACTAAGCTTTACCCATTTTTCAGCTCGACAAGCTTGTTAATTTATCGAGCTACAAAGCCTAAACCTACTTTTTTAAAACCATTTGTCGCTTACTTACAAAGGAAACTTTAAAAACATGTTCAAGAAATAACGGTTCTTTACATCACACTCTTCGTACAGATTTTGTAAGCCGAACCTATTTTCTTTAACTGACCATTAGCAAAACTGACAGAAAGTGAGTTAAGAATTTTGAAAATACAGAAAATGAAAAATATTTCCACATTTTATTTGCTTTCTGAGAGGACTTATCTAGAGCGTCTGAATAAATAAACTGAAAAGTCAAGCAAATTCTTGGCCATGAAGCACGAAGCATAAACTGCTACACGCCGCAAACGGTGAATCATCGAGCTACTGTGTAAGATCACTAAACTTAACTGGTTACACTGAGATTATTTACTGGTTGGAATTAGAATGGACCAGAATGGACAATGGCCACTAACACGGGAAGAGAGTTTGAAATTATGAGGACACAAAAAACGTACCACTCTTTCAATTCAAGGTCAGTTTAGGGAAATAATTTCCCTAAGTGATATTATCTCGCGATGTCTCACACTGCAAATTTCCTTTTAATTGTACAGTTCATACCTTGGGTTATATCTAAATAATCGCACTTGGATTAAAAAAATCCAAGAACGACATGCAATTTATTTCTAGTAAAAGTTATGATCTGTTGGTTACAATGATAAGTTGTAACAAACAAAATTGTGTAGTTCAAGAATCATGCAAAAAGGCCTGTCATTTGGCGCATCGTTTACTTGGCAACCTAATATTTCTGCAAACGAATAAAATTGTTTAATTGAAATTAGAATGCATATGTAGGCTGTTGAGTGAGCATGTTTTGACGAGAAACGTATTGAAACAAGGAAATTCTATGATTCAATCCCTAGCAGAGTGTTAGTACGTACAGTGTTCGAAGCTTTCTTTTTTTTTATCTCTATAGCGTTATCTAAATTATGCTTTTTGATTCAATGTTTCTTTATTTCTTCTTTCTTCCAGTTCTCATAACTTTCATGAAGACAGATCACCAGATGAAGAATGAAAACATATGGCAAACAATGAAAATCAAATATACGCCACGCGTTCTCTTATCTCCTCCGGCCCATAGTTGGCTTCTGTTGTTTCTAAAACATACCGTAGAATTCCGAAAATAAACCCCTCCAAATATAAGCCCCCCAAACTCGTAACGCAAAAAACCAGTTGTTTAGTGAAATATTTTCCCTTAATAAGTCAGGGGATATCATCTCGCGCTATCACAGATTGCAACTTTTCTTTCACCTCAAGTTTAAACGGTTATATAAAAATAATCACACTTGGATTAAATAAATCCTAGAAAAACATCAATTTATTTCTATTAAAAGTTGTGATCTTTTTGTTATAATGATTAAGTTGAACTCCAGCACCAAATGTGAAGTTCAAAAATCAGGCAAAGAGGCCTTTCATTTGGCGCATCGATTAGTTAGCAACCTAATATTTCCGTAGCCTAATGAAATTGTCTAACAGGAATTAGAATACCTATGTAGGCTGTTTCTTGCCCAGTGAGCATGTTTCGACGAGAAATGTATTCAAACAAGGAAATCCTTTGATTCAGTAGAGTGTTGGTGTGTACGAAACTTTTTTCTTTTGCTCTCGCTTTACTGAAATTATGCTCAGTTTTCATTGAATGTTTCTTTATTTCATCTTTCTCCCAGTTCTCGTAACTTTCATGAAGACAGATCACCAGTTGAGGAATGAAAACAGATGGCAAACAATTCATATATACGCCACGAGTGCTCGTATCTCCTTCGGCCCATTGTAATGTCTGTTGCCTCTACATCATATTCCAAGTACACAGATCAGAGTACGTAGGAATGACTCTTCAGTATATTAATACTACACGGAACGATTTAAGCAGGTAAAATGTGAAGTATTTAACAATCATTTTTGTCAGACTCCAATGATAGTATAAAACATGATTCACGTTAAGCGTCTTCATCAAACAATTCTGAAGATAGTTCAGAATGATTTGCAACATTGCTTATTTGGATATACTGCTGTGTTAACCTCCGCTAAAATAAATTTTCAAATTTGGATGTGGATAAATTCTGTGCTTTATTCTGGATACAGAAATGAACGACGGAAGAACTTGTGATATTTTTTGTTTTTCTCTTGTTTTTCAGTAACTTCTAATTCTGCTTCGCTTGGGTTTACAGTAATATTGTACAAAAAATCCTAATTAAAATAATGACAGATTATGCTAAGACTCAGTCTTGCAAACTGTCCACACAAAAAATGTGATGAGCTGACGGACACCCTCGTGAAGCTAAAACACCGGTACAAAGGATTGCCCGGCTGTTAAGGGGCAAAATTGAGCTATACCAAGGGATAGATCTTACGCGTGCTAAAATTTTAATAAATATAGTAAATGATGTTTTGGCAGGTAGATTCTGGATCATAGGAAAAAAATATGATCTTCACAGGAAATCAGTTCCTGAAAAACGCAAAACACGAATTTTTCATGTTAAGCCAAAAGAACCAATCAAAATGCTCGACGTCTTTTAAACGTAAGATGTAATGATTGGGGCATCGGATTTCCTTGAAACTTGTTTTACAAACATGAAAAGTCAAGTAATTATCGAAAGAGGGGAAATAAATTAACCGGTAACGATAATCATTGCTATCATTTGGCTTTTGCAATCGTAAGACGAAGGTAAGTTAACTTCAAAAGACGCTGTAATAGTTCTCGAGATTCCATTGCATTCAAACCGTTCATTTTTCCAAGGCATATCTTAAATATAAAGTGTATTATTATTCATTCCAAATATTTCTGTGTTCTGAACAAGTTTACCTCCTGGTAGACTTTCTTCAAACCTTTGGCCTATTTCTCGGTACGGTTTCAAAAACAGATGTTTGTCCTTGCACATACTTCTTAGAAAGTGGATCAAATTCATCGAGTGATATGTTTAACGCATTCTTGTGTTGCTTCCGTTCAGATTTGGTTAGAAATCAGCTATTTGGTCTTCGGATAGGAGTGAATGTCATTTGTTTTAGTTCACTCGTAAATACACAGCTTTGCGGCTTGGCGATGGTCTAGCCCTGGCAGCCTTTTATGCAATATACCAAATATGGTAAGCGCCATTTGGTTAAGAAGAATTTGGCGGAAGGGGGGAGGGGAGGGGGGAGATTAGAGCCTTTAGGCTCGATGAATAACATCCTCCTCGATCTGCATAATTCTTTACATCCCACTCAGCCTCATTCAATAATTCCTAAGTGTTAATCATATTCATTGGGTTTTTTGTTTGACCTACAGTTAAGATATTTCATATCATGATCAAACTTCAATTCTAGTGCACAAGTTGGAGGACCTTGTTGATGCGATCACGAGTTAAAGTGACCACCATGTTGCTTGTACTGATTTTTTCGCTCACGGTTGGTTTCTGCTCTGCTAAGGACAACAAACCACCAGACAGCAAGGTAACTGCATTTATACATGTATCAGTTATTGCCGTTACACATTTTTTTATTACTTAACATTTAAAAAATGTTAGTTTATGGAGAAAACTATAGGAATGACGTAATATATGTTAATTTAACTAAATCAGTTGTCTGGTTGATTAAGAGGCGTGCCAAATTCAAACAAAAAAATAAGGTGGTATGATTACTTGTACAACCTTGATCAATATTTCGAGAAAAGAGAGAACATTTTCACGTTTCAAACAATCAAAATTAACATTTTTTCAAAAGCAGCTTCTTTACTGGAAAATGATTTTTTTTTTTAGAAAATCATAATTGACGATTTCACTAAAAAAAAAAAAAAAACAATTAGAACTTGGAAAATTATAAGGAAGTACTTCCTCGCCTGGATTGAAACGCAGTTTGTCATTGACTTTTTCTCTTTTTTGCAGCATGTTCAGTCTTGTCCAACGTGTAATAATGGTGGACAAACCGGGATGTGGACATACATGACATGCATCCCAGGAGCCCCTGGGGCACCTGGTCAAGATGGAGCCAAAGGAGACCTGGGCAGCCCGGGGAAAACTGGGACCCAGGGACCACGTGGTGCTGATGGAAAGAAAGGAGCAAAGGGAGAGCCTGGGATCCAGGGTTCCCCTGGACAAAAAGGACAGCGAGGGGACAAAGGCGACAGTGGAATTCCACGACTGGCTGCATACACGAACTGGAAGGAGTGTGCTTGGAAAAAGGAATACTCCACAGATTCAGGACTGATATATGTAAGTGCAGATCGTCACTTTGTTACCACAGTTAAATAATATTCTATTAGCTCAAAGCAAGCAATTTCACTAAAACGATTGATTGCCATAATGCGTTGGTCAGCAGTCAGCGATAATGAGGGCCGCGTCTTTTGAAGCTACGTAGTTTTGTATTAAAGTGGGGCCATTTTTAGTTTTACTATACTGTGCCCTTCTCTATTCTTAATTTCTTTGCTAACCTTATGTACATAAAGTTTTTTTTTTGTCTAAACATCTTGTATGAATTAATATTGTACAACTGATACATTATTGTTTTTCTATAGAATGGAGTAAATAAAAATACAATACAATACAGTACGCGACGGATGCTGTTTCTTTATATTCGTTTAGAACTGTGACTTTGTGAAGAAATACCCGGACACTTCCCTCCATGTCTACTATGCTGGTAACCTGAGGATTCATAACTGTGACTACTGCTGTAGTCGCTGGTATTTCACCTTCAATGGAGCCGAGTGCAGCTCTCCTGGAACTATTGACGGTGAATTCTACATGAAAATAGGCAGAAACCAAAATCTTCACCGTCACCGCCACATTGAAGGTCACTGCAAAAACATTCAGAAAGGAAAAGTGCGAGTGGGATTCTGGGTTGGAAAGTGCGTCGCAGTGAAAAAGCTTGCTGACGCCCACACTGGTTGGTATTCAATGAATCGTATCTTCATTGAAGAAGTACCGAAAGCTCAGCAGTAATCACGTGTTATATGATGAGCTGGAGTTTTTAAAATAGAAGCGTGTTAGACTTTTGTTATGTCTTGTCTGGGTAGAGGTGTGTAAGCAACGTTACTTTGCTTTCAAGTGTGTATCAGCTAAAAAATAAAGTCCCGGAGACTAGAATCCACTGTTGTTTTCAGTTGGTTTACCATACTTGCCGCCCTCATTTAATTTGCCCTTTACCTTGCGTGGGATTATAAACTGCCTTTCTCTTCAGCGGCCCCTAATTCGTCCATCTGAACATTTAATTAAGTTTCGCTCTTGATAGGGAACTAAAACATTTAAGGGGTCACAACCACAATTATGTGGGGATGTGTTGGAGAAACTCGCTCGCTACACGAAGAGGTACCAGGAATCTGATTTACATCTTGGCCTTTATTCTTCTTATTCTTCTTACACTTCTACTTTACTCAGCAACTTTCTCAGTTCTGCCAACTTCTCTACTTCACCTCTACTTCTCCTACTCTTCTCTACTAACCTCTAGTTCAAGTATAGTAGCGGTTTTAATAGCCAAAGCTGGACATGTTTGGGTTAGCTGACCGGAAGAGTTTCTATTGTATATCTTATCGCTAACATTGCAACAGGTTTGCTATTGTCAGGGAATAGACTAGCCTCCGCACAGCCGTAACTGACAAGTACCAAAGAACGAAGGTCAGCTCTAACACCACAAACACGACCACCTGTAAAAAACTAACATCTGACAATGCCAAGCGAAAAACATTCCTAATATGGCAATAAGCAAATTCGCGAGCTAAGCATAACTTCAAGTACAAGTAAAAACAAAAGATCAAAACAGTAAAATAGTACGTGAACAAAAACAAGACTTAATGACACAAAAACTAAACTTAAAAGTTAAGATAGATCCGTCTTAAAAATAATTTTTAAAATACTTCACAACAATTATATCAGGTCAATAGATGAGGTGAAATTGAAACTAAGTATCCACGGTCACTTTTACTTCTTTTCTCATACTTGGAACTCTAAGAAATATATAATACATCTGGTGATTCTTTCAAGGAGAAGACGACAAAGCATGATTATTTTTTTTATCACTTTTTGTCTTTAATTTTTCGACAGTACAATAATTTAGGTAAAGATATCCACTTTAATATTTTTAGGCGGGTTCTGAACCGTTATTTTAGGTTTTATATTTTTCAATGCAAGCTGTCGCTAGGGTCCCAAACAATTCTAGAACTGATAGCTCCTTGAAATTTCTCAAATTCAGAAACCGTTAAAAGGCCAGCCCACAAAATGATGGATCCTTTCAAACAACACTTGAATGTCACCACAGCATACTTCAGGTCTGGAAAAATAAAAGCTGTTATCCCGGCTTTATTCGAGATATGATCGTTGCAGTTGTGACAGCAACTGAATTAAAACAATTTTATATGAACTATGACAACTGCGACGATCATATGTTCATTCAAAATTTCTTACCTTCAATTCAAATCATCATCTTCATTAGTATCCTTTTACGATCCATACACTTTCCTTATGAGCCACCCAAGAACTGTGGTTAGCAGCGTTGTCATCTATAAACTAAATGCATTCCTCGCTACGTTTTGAGCTCGCACATACTTCTATGGATGAATCATAATTTTTGCTCATTTGTCGATTTTATCGATTTCGTAGAGTGAAAAGGAAGTGAGCTATATTTAAACTATAAAAAGGAAATGTAACGGATATGAAAAACTGATGAGCTAACTTGTTTAATAAATGTCACCTTACTCCCCTTCACTCCCTCAGCTGTACCCTGTATAAACACCATTAGTCCAGGCATTTTGTGATCGGACCTGTCACTAACTGTAAAAAAAGCTTTCTCACCTTTAACCATGTAGGAATAACCTAAAAATGAACATACTAAAAGTCCCTAAAGATCCAAGCATAGGAACACCTCCAAACAGTACCCACCACAGAAGTCCCTCTTTCCTATAGCATGAAAACGAGGCTATAATAGGCTCTTGCCGATTGTGCTAGCATAATTTTTGGCATAATCTGAGGAATTGAGCATAATTTTTGCCCTTTTTCCAAAAGTAGCACTGCTAGCATAATCCGTATATTTTCTTGTCTTAATAGCACAATTTTAGAATAATTCAAGAAAACGAAGATCTCAGCTACTAAAAACGATAGATTACTATTAACAGTTGCTTCCACTCCTATTTTTCGATTTTTTTTTACTGAACCGGAAGTCTGTGTCTCGGTCCCAGACTCCTTAGTCTTTCTCCCAGTGCTCGTTTCAAAATGGCGGCCGCCACGCCAAACCAGTCAAGTGCAGTGAACTTACATCCAGATAGTTTACAAGGTTGCGAGAACAGAGAGGATAGACCAAAGCCTGCACAACTTGCCCGGATATGGCGCCCAGGAAGTGCTGTCAGGTACTTGTTCCTGGATAGCAGATTTATTTGCCGTATAGGCCCAACCACCGGATAAAGTTACCCAGGTTTTGAACAACCGGGCCCAGAACGTCTGGCCAGGGTTAATAAAATACATTTTCAAACTTGTCTTGTGAGTTGTGAAGTTTGTGCCCAGAATAATTTTTTAAAAAAGTAGCATAATTTTGAAAAGCGAGCATAATTTGAGCATAATTTGGGCAAAAAACGAGCACTGCCACTAGCATAATATGCCACTTTTACTAGCACAATCGGCAAATGCCTAGGCTATAAACAAGAAGTTAATATTATTGCGCAATTGCAATGCTGGAAATCGAATCCTTTTTTTCGAAACTATGAATATACTTTTAGCAAGTCCAAAACAAATTCATATGTTATTAAAATTCGACATTTCTTTAAAAAATCAGTTAGGGGTAGCCAAGTACTAATTGAAGCTTGATTATCGATCGAGAAATAAACAAACATTCTTCGTTATAGATAATCCTTTAAATCTTTTTAATTTTAAATTTGTTAAATCCTTTGGGTGATTTGATTTGTCCAAAAATAGAAGGATGGTTGAACTGGCCTTTCTTTGCTTAGAACTCCTGTCGTACAAAAACCAGCATTTGCGTTACTCTGCATTTGCTATGTGTGTTATTGATCCAACTCCACGATGTTGTTGTTGTTGTTGTTGTTGTTGTTGTTAAGAGGATTGGCAAAATTTATGCAAAAACACCCTTTGCGCTGACCGCAGTCAGTCGCCTGCCAGCAAGCTGATTAGGGGCGGGGGTAGCAAAGGACGCCTCGCTCCCCAAGAGCTTGCTCTCTCTGCAAAAAGAAAAGAGAAATTCCTGCAAAACTCTCTACCTAGCTAACTTTTGCTATTTCTTCGCCGGCGTTACGCCCTCCTCGATTGCTTGCCTTTAGTTTCATTTAAATAAGAGTTGACAGTTATCTAGAGGAGCATGGTGGTGTCACGGGACCAACAAATCTGTTTCTATTCTAGCAGGAACTTCTGATACACCTGGGATGGTATCATTGCACTCTGGGCTCACTTCTTTTATACCCTCCCTCTCCCTAAAGAGTCACCACCTCAGTTACCCTGCTGCTTTCTATAAATTGTACAAGTTACAGTCTCATCCAACGTATAAAGATCTTGGTCTGGAATTATAGATGATTCGGATCGCATTGACCGCCTGAGATATTTAATACGCATTATTTTCTCCTCAAAATAATTTATCTTTTATATACTTATCAGTGGATGTCTGCGTTCCTTATTTTTCCTTTTATTTGAAAAATGAAATCTAATTGAAGTGAAATTGGTTTTGTATATTTAAATAATGTTTGTCCAATTTACAAAAGTATCTTAATGATAAAGTCTTCTTAAGGCTCACTGTTTGTACAAATGTACAAAACGCGACGCGGTGAGTGTCATATCAGGTTTTCAGCGAATTGTGCCTTTAGCTATAGAACCGAATTCAATCTTTATAGGCAATCAGTAAAATTAGGTAACAAATTTTCAGAAACTACCCAGGCTCTTCCCGTTTTTCTAGCTACAAATAAGCCGCAAGACGCAATTATATGTGTACCCTGATATCATCCACATGATGTAAGCTATGTAATTTTTGACAGTATTAAAGTGCAACTAACCCCCAAAAATGTTTTTCGCTAAATGAAATCTCCTTATTTTTCTGATTACTTTTGCGAAAAAATTATCTTGATTGACAAAATCCTCGCGTTTCCATGGCTGTTTAAAGTTACTGTAGGTCTCTTGTGTCCCATTACCGAGGTTCGTAGGAGCTGGGTACGAATGTTGTTGTGACGTCATCGAAGGAGGACATCTGCCGCGAACTAATGAGTAAATTACCGAGAAGCGCGAAAGGAAAAATCATTTTAACTGATTTTAAGCGAGCGGGATACTAAAACGACCAGAATTCAACGGAATATGTCTTTAAGTGATTCAAGTTCTGAGGGAAGTTTTAATTCAGAAGATTCTGAGGCAGATTTGGCCGAAGTGGAAGATGAACGACAGTGGAACGAAGTGATCGCGAGTCGCAAGTTTCATGTGAAAGCCTGGAAAAGGACATTGCATATGCCGATCAACCCTTATGAAGAATAGCTAAAAAAGTACGAAGAAGAAGTTGATGAAACAAATAAGCTAGAGCAAGAACTATGGGGAAGACTTGAAGAATCAGTTCAAGTGGATTCTTGGTGAGTGTCGGCAAATTTGTAGTATGATCGTGTGAAGATCGAAGTAAAAGCTTATGTAAGTAATCGAGTACTTGCTTGTTTGGCGGCGTGATTGCTGTAATGTATGATGAGAGTTGTTAGCTGTCGCTACAAAAAGTGTTATTTTTGTATGATTCTAGCTACCTTGATTGTTATAGGTGTTCCTGTGGAAACTGCAGCCGTGTTGTCCTTCAGAATTTGAGCGAGTGCTACTGCTGACAGGAGCTGTAGTTGGTTGCAAAGAAGCCATGTGTAGCGAAAGTGTTCTTGAAGATATTCAACTCGAAACGACCTTAAGGTGTATCACACAACATCCTGGTTTTGGTCCTGTCTGCCTTCAAAAGTGGAGCTTACGTATGGCTGGCGAACGTGTCAATACCAAAGCCAAACAGAGATATAAACAAACTGGAACCGAAGAAAGGTGAGATAGTTTTGGTTATTTTTGTATCGCATTGGAGTCAAATACGATCGATATGGTACACACTCGATTTGAAAACATACAAATTCTTTAATACATCGTCCAGCCAAAATTAAATACTTTTGTTATTGTCTTTTTTTTAAAGTTACTTGCGTAGCATTGCCTACAGGGAGTTTTCCAGGCTTGTGTACAAGCGAATTCCTCTTCCTGCGTGTGCTTACACGGAAATAAGAAAACAATTTCCTGTCGGCAGAGATGAAACCTACACTGGATTCGAACTCGACGACTTCAGATGATTAAGTAAACTTTTTAGGCTTTTTCCCTTGTAAATTATTCTGTTATTAAATTGTTGATCATCTGTTCAACTGTCTGTTTTACTTCATCTTTTGTTGACGTAAACAGTAGATTCATTTTGAACTGTAGCTTTTACCACTGTTTTTTTTTCCTTTGATATACAATTTTACACATTTCAATAAGCATGTAATAAAAAAGAACTAGTGATAAATCAACAGGTGGGGTGTTCGCCCGGGGGGTACTCACCATAATGGCCTATAAAGGAAGGCTCTGCCTAAAAGGGGTATCTTTTTCTGCCTTCAGTATATGAAAGGGTAGGGATTTTACTCGTTGAAGTATATGAAAGGGTAGGGAAATCTGTCATTTGGGCCTGTGAAATGGCTAGTAGGGCTCACAAATGAATTTTATGGCTTTATAAAGTCAAGAAAACGTTCTATTTGTGTGATTGATTCCAATTTAAAAGACAGTTCATTTAAAGCGGTCAAAAGAGATGCAAAGTTCTAAACAAGGTATGTGAAAGGGGTACCAAATGTCAATAGAATTGAAGGTATACGAAAGGGGCACCTTTTTCGTGAAAAATGGTATATAAAAGGGTAAGGGGTTGGACCTCGGGGTGGAACCTCCCCAGGTAAAAATTTGTTGAGTACCACCCCAGGGGTGTTCGTTGTTAATAATAAAAAAGTCATTATGCAATGAAAATTTATTTTTGCCCGCCAAAAGAGGCCACTGCTAGCACAAAACTTTTTTCCTCTCCATTATGAAAAAGAGCAATCTCCTATAGCCCCTTGTTACGAGAGAAAGAGAGATCAGGAGATGTGTCACTGATAAGAGAAGGTCAGGTTCTCAAATTCCCTAGTTCTAGACACAACTACCGTAAATCCTCTATTAAGTCCCCCCCCCCCGGGGGGCTTATTTTTTTCAAGCACTTTTGAGGGGGGGCTTCTTTAATTTAGCGAAACGCATCACCTGAGCAAAAATACCATGGTATGAGACAGAGTAGACTAATGCGTTGTACAATTAGTCACTGTCAAAAGTATTTAATTCAGTTGTGGGAGCCTAAAAGTAACAAAAACAAAATTCTTCTTCAAAAATGTGCTTTCGGCCTCATGTTCTTCGGTAATTTTTATGAGAATGGTTACTTGTATTGATTTGTCGTACACAACTTACAAACGAAAATCTCTGGAAAACTCCTGTTATATTTACATTTTTTATCTCTTACATTTAAATGTTTTATATAAACAGCCTTGAAATTTATGATACTATAATACTATAAGAAAATGGTGACAATTGTCCACAGAGAACTGGAGCGCAAAGTTGAGAAAGTTAAGCATATGAAGTTGGAGTTCATGTGGCCGAAGACCAAAAACAATATGAACTTCCAGCCTGAATAAACCATAACTGATCAGTCTACATTAATCGTTAATTGTTTTGTGAAGAATAAGGATTGGAGGAGGGGGGGGGGGGCTTAATAGAGAGGGGGGCTTATTAACTCTCCTCCTCTGAAAAGGGGGGGCTTATTAGAGAGGGGGGCTTAATAGAGGATTTACGGTATAGACACAGCCCGCTGACTGGTTGGTTTCAATTTATTTCCCACCAAAATCCTTTGACTTTTCTTTAATATTGCTGGTAAGCTTCCTTAAAGAGTTGTTATTGCCAACCAACCTTCAAGGCTATGCATAATTTGTACGAGAATTCTGATTTCAATTGCAAAAGGATAGATATAGCTGATCAGTTTTGTCTGTATATACATAGACCACAATTCAATCACAATACACACATGTATATACGTAGTATAACTCAAAACTTGTACAAGAATAGTTCCCTACAGAAGCTCAACAGAGACAATATTCACTATGGCTTTTAAACTTCTAGCCCTATTTCTTATTATTTGGACAGTCTTCAATATTCTTGTGTCCTTTCATGGGATTTTTGCATGCAGAGCAATAGCGAGCTTTCTTGGGGCCATCTCCGGGAGTTTTCTGGGTTTTTTTTTCCCTTTTTCTTGTATTTGAACTCGTGCTTGCAACTGGTTCATCAGGAACTAGGAAAAAAAGTAAATTGAATACATTACAATTCCGCAGCTCCTCTAAAGGTGATAGAAAGGGTTGTGAGGATGAAAATCTTTACTCCTTTTTCCACAAAATTCATTCCTTTCTCCAATTTTTATAGAAAATAATCTACATAATATATTATAAACAGAAAAGATCACTACAGTCAAATACACAACTTATGCAGTTGTGGAAAGAAAGCCTGAAAAAATTCAGGCTTACAGGGATTCCAACCCTGATCTCTGTGATACCAGTGCAGTCCCTGTGCAGGTTGAAATTGAAATGAACTGCTGCAAGAATATGCCTGAAAATAAAAACAGGCAATATTTTCAATAAAGAGGTTATACAGACTAAACTACAAAAATGTAATATCATTCAGTAATGAAGGGCTTGGAATAACACTTTGTGAACAGACGTTCTGGATGTTTTTTTCTTCCAAATCAGCTAAAAATTTTTCTATGTGGCCTCTGATTCAACAGAAAAACCTTGCCCTGCATTTTTTTGCCAGTTTTAGCTTTAATATTTTGCAAGAAAAAATTTATGCAAAAAATGCGTTGGCCTTTTTTTGTTAAAATAGGAAACAAAAGAAACGTATTAAGTTCTTTGCTTAGCAAAATCAGCAGAGCGGGAGATTATTCTTACCAGCAAGACATTCCAACATAAGAATATGCTATCATCTGAATATGGCTGCCCGGAAATCTTAGCTTACCACGTACAGATAAATATCGTACCTTATCGTAAAGACTGGTCCATCTTCTGCTTTGATTTAGCCGACGACCTTGTTCCCTTTAAAACTAAGTCCGCGAAAACTCGCCTTGAATATGATGGGCTCCTGATCGTTGATCACTAGATCAAAAGTTTGATTGTTTTTAAGCGCGCACGCTGTAAAAATGGTTGGCTCCTATTTAGCTCTCCTCTGCTGGACAAAGTTCACCCATTTCCGACCTCTTTTAATGCTTTCCTCGCGTGAGTCATCAAAGATAGGAATTCTATGAAGCCCGATACCTCTTTGGGGATCGGCTGTTCTGCTACAACCGAAAACGACACAGGCGTCGGGCATGATTCCAGAAGAAGATTCCAAGAGAAGTCCGTGTTGCTCGCGAAGGTCGAGCTCCTTCGATGACGTCACAATAACACTCGGACCCATTCTCCACAGAGCTCGGTAGTGGCCGCAAGAACCGCCAAAATTTGAAACTTTGAAAAATTATAAAAAATTAAGGAAAAACGCTATGACCAAAATTTTTTCGCACAAGTAAGCAGGATGATAAGAAGATTTCGTTCAGCGAAAAAAAAATTTAAGGGTTAGTTGCAGTTTAAAGGATTTTATATGTATGCAGTTATTTTATAAAACAGATACTTATTTAGAAATTCTTGGGCAGCAACCCTAACAAAATCCTTCAATCTAGTATGCTAGTTTATGTTCGGTATATGAAGCACACAACTCGTACGAATGGCATACATTACATCAGCCTCGTTTCCATGTTGTTCTTTAGGGGAGATATGGGGTTAAGGGACTGTGACACGCTTCTGCGCACGTGCGGTATCTTGATTTCTGTTCTACGAACGTTTTTTCAAGATTGGCTTTTGGTGAAGAAATGCTATTCCATCGACCCTGAGACACCCCGAGAAAGCTATTATATCAGTATTCAAGAGATCTTTGGTCCATTTTGGAAGTTTTAAACGCCATATTTTGTATTTTTGTGCAAGAATTGCCGAGAAAATTCGAAGTCATTGAGGAGAATTGCACGAAAGCATATTATTATGTGGTCATCTGTCTTTCATTTCTGTCCATTAAGTTCTCTAGTCAACGATCTACCTTTTTCGGTTAGGTTTTAAACGTTAAATATGCAAAGAAAGTTTAAATGGTTTCCTCGATACAGCCGTGGACTATAAATGGTACGCAGCGGCAAGTGAAGCTGATCTGCGACATGACTTCCGATTGTCTGCAATAATTTACTCTCTCAAGTGCCTGAAATCAGAAGGAGAAAACCCAGCAATCTTTTATTGTACAGGAAGTCGTGTGAGGTTTGAGGAAAGAATACATCGAACATGAAACGTAACAGATTGGTCGAGGCATTCGATTTATGACTCCGATGCATACCAGAAAGTACTGAGAACAGGCC